CCTTCCAGTCCGGACACACAAACTTTTCCCCCCCCTTCCAGTCCGAACACTTTCCACACCTCACATTCCAGTCCCCGTACAACTTTCCCCCCCTTACCCAGTCCCTGGACACTTTCACCACACCATTCAAATCCGGACACTATTCCTCCCCCCCTATCCGAGTCCGGACACTTATCACCTCCCCCTTTCCAGTCCGGACCACTCTGTTCCGCTCCCTTCCAGTCGGACACTTTCCCCCCCTTCCATCCGCGACACTTTCACCCCCCCGTTCCAGTCCGGACACTTTCCCCCCCCCTTCCATCTCCGGACACTATTTCCATTCCAGTCCGGACACACCCCCCCTTCCAGTCCGGACACTTTCCCCCCCTTCCAGTCCGGACACTTTCCCCCCCCCGCCCTTCCAGTCCGACACTTTCTCCAGTCCGGACACTTTCCCCCCCTTCCCCGGACACTTCCCCCCCTTCCAGTTCCCCGGACACTGTTCCCCCCCCCTTCCAGACACTCCCGTCCACCCGGACACACCCCTTCCATCGACACTTGCACTTCCCCCCTTCCCAGAGGTCCGACCTGTTCTGACGATGGGTGTTCTCACTGTCCGTTCTGGAGGACCACCCCTCCTACTCCAGCGGGCCTGTCTGACGATTGGATCGCGGTTGCTGCGTGCTCCCAGGGAAGGCGCACAATCAGGGGGCGGGGAGGCCGTTTATTAAATGGCCACCCATCCCCTGCACTGCCACCGTCTGGCTGTTTATATACAATGGCCGGATGGAGGTGGTTAAAGAAAAAAAATGTATTAAGGGAAATATATACCGTAGGTTCCAATTGCTCTTCCCGTTTTGACAATGCAGGTTGCGGCTTGGAATAAACCAGCAGAGTAGTGACCCCGTCAACAGGAAATAGCTGCAAACACTCTCAGACATAAAGATAACACGAAAAAAAAACAAAAACAAAATAACAAAAAAGGAACCCCCAAACCCTCCCCCGAAAAAAAAAAAAAACAAAAAAAAAACAAAAATATAGGCGGACTGGATGGATCACTCGGACCTTTCTCTGCCAATCACTTTTCCACATTTCCATGCTTGGCTGTCTTTGGGTTCAGGATTTTCCAGGGTCACCATGTAGGGTGATTGCTGACTGTTGGTACCCCTAGTATCGCCCTTCTTGGAGATGGGACAAGGACCCGCTTTCTCTGGTAGCCATATTGTGCCCAACTCCTTGCCAGAGGCATTTCTCATACACCCCCGACTGGTAGCCTTTATATTCAAAGAACGGAAAATGTCAGGAAAGGAAAAAATATGTCCATAGTTATGTGCAGACAGAGAAATTCCTGTTTCTATCAGAACCCGTGTTCATGTTCACGTGTGTGCGCAGAGACGGTGGCGTGTACACCCACTAACTAGCCTGGTGCCTTTGTGGGCTATATAAACATCTCTGCTGCCTTAAGGACTTGGCTTTTATGGTCTACAGCGTTCTGCCACTTGCTGCGTGTTCCTGTACCGGATCTTCTGTTGTCGTCCTGATCCGTCTGACCATGCTTGAACGCTGCCCTGACCCGACCCCTGGCTCTGTGACCACATCTCTGCATCATCCTTCTGTCTGTTGGCTTACTGTTACCAAGTCCAACCTGAACCTGTCTACTCTGCTCGCTGCTCTGTCCATGGAGTCCTGCTAGTGTGTGACCCAACTTGCCTGACCCTGCTCTGTCCATGGAGTCCTGCTAGTGTGTGACCCAACTTGCCTGACCCTGCTCTGTCCATGGAGTCCTGCTAGTGTGTGACCCAACTTGCCTGACCCTGCTCTGTCCATGGAGTCCTGCTAGTGTGTGACCCAACTTGCCTGACCCTGCTCTGTCCATGGAGTGCTGCTAGTGTGTGACCCAACTTGCCTGACCCTGCTCTGTCCATGGAGTCCTGCTAGTGTGTGGACCCAACTTGCCTGACCCTGCTCTGTCCATAGGAGTCCTGCTAGTGTGCGACCCAACTTGCCTGACCTGCTCTGGAGCCATGGAGTGCCTGCAAGTGTGACGACCCAACTTGCCTGACCCTGCACTGTCCATGGAGTGCCTGCTAGTGGTGGACCCAACTTGCCTGACCCTGCTCTGTCCATGGAGTCCTGCTAGTGTGTGACCCAACTTGCCTGACCCTGCTCTGTCCATGGAGTCCTGCTAGTGTGTGACCCAACTTTGCCTGACCCTGCTCTGTCCATGGAGTCCTGCTAGTGTGTGACCCACAACCTGCCTGACCCTGCTCTGTCCATGGAGTCCTGCTAGTGTGTGACCCAACTTGCCTGACCCTGCTCTGTGTCCAGCCTGTAGTGACTTCTGCAACTTGCCAAGTGCCTGACTGTGACCTGCCAAGTGCCTGACCCATTCTGTGCATGCTACCCTGCATCATGGTTCAGCTTGTATCCGAGTGCAACACCTGACTCCAGGCTCTCGTGCCTCCTGTCACTGTTACCAGGGGTATGGAGCCTGAGGTGTACCTCTCCACATGGGGTTCCATCACCAGGTATGTCCACACAAAGTTATAGTTACTGTACTTTTCTGTAGCATTTGACAGATGACAGAGATACATCACATAGACAGATCTGAAGGAGATCACGGCTGTATTCTGAAGGAATCACGCCTGTATTCTGAAGGAGATCACGCTGTATTCTGAAGGAGATCACGCCTGGATTCTGAAGGAGATCATGCCTGGGATTTTCTGAAGGAGATCACGCTGGTATTCTGAAGATCACGCCTGTATTCTGAAGGAGATCACGCCTGTATTCTGAAGGAGATCACGCCTGTATTCTGAAGGAGATCACGCCTGTATTCTGAAGGAGATCACGCCTGTATTCTGAAGGAGATCACGCCTGGATTCTGAAGGAGATCACGCCTGTATTCTGAAGGAGATCACGCCTGGATTCTGAAGGAGATCACGCCTGGATTCTGAAGGAGATCACGCCTGTATTCTGAAGGAGATCACGCCTGTATTCTGAAGGAGATCACGGCTGTATTCTGAAGGAGATCACGCCTGTATTCTGAAGCAGATCACGCCTGTATTCTGAAGCAGATCACGCCTGTATTCTGAAGGAGATCACGCTGTATTCTGAAGGAGATCACGCCTGTATTCTGAAGGAGATCACGCCTGGATTCTGAAGGAGATCACGGCTGTATTCTGAAGGAGATCACGCCTGGATTCTGAAGGAGATCACGCACGCTGGATTCTGAAGGAGATCACGCCTGTATTCTGAAGGAGATCACGCCTGTATTCTGAAGGAGATCACGCCTGGATTCTGAAGCAGATCACGCCTGGATTCTGAAGCAGATCACGCCTGTATTCTGAAGGAGATCACGGCTGTATTCTGAAGGAGATCACGGCTGTATTCTGAAGGAGATCACGCCTGTATTCTGAAGGAGATCACGCCTGTATTCTGAAGGAGATCACGGCTGGATTCTGAAGGAGATCACGCCTGATTCTGAAGGAGATCACGGCTGTATTCTGAAGGAGATCACGCCTGTATTCTGAAGGAGATCACGGCTGTATTCTGAAGGAGATCACGCCTGGATTCTGAAGGAGATCACGCCTGTATTCTGAAGGAGATCACGCCTGGATTCTGAAGGAGATCACGCCTGGATTCTGAAGGAGATCACGCCTGGATTCTGAAGGAGATCACGCCTGGATTCTGAAGGAGATCACGCCTGTATTCTGAAGGAGATCACGGCTGTATTCTGAAGGAGATCGCGCCTGGATTCTGAAGGAGATCACGGCTGTATTCTGAAGGAGATCACTAGAGATGAGCGAAGTATTCAAAAATTCGATTCGACTGATTCGGCGAATTCGTAGAAAAATTTCGATTCGAGTCGAATATATTCGCTGTGAATTTAACTTAAAAAAGGGTGTTTCTAGGCTTCAGAGAGCCTTTATATTAGTGCTGAACACTGTACCTTTAATTTAAATGCCCTTGGAGTCTGCTGGGGAAGAGAAATAATACTGTCAGGCAGTATGACATGCAGATGAGTGCCGTCCATCTTAGAATCACCGCACACTTCACTCATTTGGCCAGTCACGGGGCCAAAACCAGAGTGTGGAGCCACAGTGTGGCGGTGGAGGCAGCAGCAATGGGAGGCCATACAGCACCCTATGACAAAAATGGAAACCACCAGCAGTGTGAGGAGACCTGAAAGTGGCACATGGCAGAGAGTGGCGATAGAGACAGCAGCAATGGGAGGCCGTACAGGGACCCATGACACACTCTGGACCTGGCAGCAGCATGAGGAGGCGGTACAGGGGCCCATGGCAGATTACAGGCCTGGCAGCAGCATGAGGAGTCGGTACGGGGGCCCATGGCAGATTACAGGCCTGGCAGCAGCAATGGGAGGCCGTACAGGGACCCATGACACAATCTGGACGTGGCAGCAGCATGGGGAGGCGGTACAGGGGCCCATGACAGATTACGGGCCTGGCAGCAGCATTTGGGAGTCGGTACGGGGGCCCATGACACACTCTGGACCTGGCAGCAGCATGAGGAGGCGGTACAGGGGCACATGACAGATTACGCCTGGCAGCAGCAACTTGGACAGGAGGACGTTCAGTTTCTGCACTGTCTGGTGCGTGCTCGCAAACTGTTGTCTCTTGGAAACGGATTCCAAGAAAGACTGCTGACGGAATCCGTGAAGAGGAGTAGCAGGAGAGAGGAGCATCTGAACGAGCGGAATATGCCAACAAGCGACAACAGGGGCCTATGGCAGATTAGGGGGCCTGGCAGCAGCTATGGGAGGCCCGTAATCTGCCAGCACCCTATGTCAAAAAATTCTACACACCAGCAGTGTGTGAGGAGACCTGAAAGTGGCACATGGCAGAGTGTGGCGATGGAGACAGCAGCAATGGGAGGCCGTACAGGGACCCATGACAGACTCTGGACCTGGCAGCAGCATGAGGAGGCAGTATATAGGGGCCTATGGCAGATTAGGGGCCTGGCAGCAGCTATAGGAGGCCCATAATCTGCCAGCACCCTATGTCAAAAAATTCAACACACCAGCAGTGTGAGGAGACCTGAAAGTGGCACATGGCATGAGACACTGTGGACCTGGCAGCAGCATGAGGAGGCGGTATATAGGGGCCCATGGCAGATTAGGGGCCCTGGCAGCAGCTATAGGAGGCCCATAATCTGCCAGCACCCTATGTCAAAAAATTCTACACACCAGCAGTATGTGAGGAGACCTGAAAGTGGCACATGGCAGAGTGTGGCGATGGAGACAGCAGCAATGGGAGGCCGTACAGGGACCCATGACAGACTCTGGACCTGGCAGCAGCATGAGGAGGCGGTATATAGGGGCCTATGGCAGATTAGGGGCCTGGCAGCAGCTATAGGAGGCCCATAATCTGCCAGCACCCTATGTCAAAAAATTCTACACACCAGCAGTGTGTGAGGAGACCTGAAAGTGGCACATGGCAGAGTGTGGCGATGGAGACAGCAGCAATGGGAGGCCGTACAGGGACCCATGACAGACTCTGGACCTGGCAGCAGCATGAGGAGGCGGTATATAGGGGCCTGTGGCAGATTAGGGGCCTGGCAGCAGCTATGGGAGGCCCATAATCTGCCAGCACCCTATGTCAAAAAATTCTACACAGCAGCAGTGTGTGAGGAGACCTGAAAGTGGCACATGGCAGAGTGTGGCGATGGAGACAGCAGCAATGGGAGGCCGTACAGGGACCCATGAGAGACTCTGGACCTGGCAGCAGCATGAGGAAGCGGTATATATAGGGGCCTATGGCAGATTAGGGGCCTGGCAGCAGCTATAGGAGGCCCGTAATCTGCCAGCACCCTATGTCAAAAAATTCAACACACCAGCAGTGTGTGAGGAGACCTGAAAGTGGCACATGGCATGAGACACTGTGGACCTGGCAGCAGCATGAGGAGGCGGTATATAGGGGCCCATGGCAGATTAGGGGCCTGGCAGCAGCTATAGGAGGCCCATAATCTGCCAGCACCCTATGTCAAAAAATTCTACACACCAGCAGTGTGTGAGGAGACCTGAAAGTGGCACATGGCAGAGTGTGGCGATGGAGACAGCAGCAATGGGAGGCCGTACAGGGACCCATGAGAGACTCTGGACCTGGCAGCAGCATGAGGAGCGGTATATAGGGGCCCATGGCAGATTAGGGGCCTGGCAGCAGCTATGGGAGGCCCATAATCTGCCAGCACCCTATGTCAAAAAATTCTACACACCAGCAGTGTGAGGAGACCTGAAAGTGGCACATGTTTGAGGCATGATTCATGGCGGATTTAGTCAGTTGTGTCAGGAACTGGTGGTTTGAAATCCAGACTAATCCACGCCTGATTCATTTTCACAAACGTGAGTCTCTCCACACTTTGGGTGGACAGTCGTGTCCTCCGCGGAGTTACAATACCTCCTGCCGCACTAAACACGCGCTCCGATGCCACGCTACTGGCCGGGCATGACAGCCTTTCAAGGGCAAATTCAGCTAGTTGGGGCCAAAGGTCAAGTTTCGTTGCCCAGTAGTCAAGGGGATTGTCTACCTCGGTTGGCAGGGTGCTGTCCAAGTAGGCCCAAGCCTGTTGTTTGAGGTCCTGCTCCAGGTCCACCTGATGCTGCTGCTGCTGCTGCGGCTGGTTAGTAGTTTCCTCACTGCGCTGGTGAAGAAAAAGCTACTCATCATCGACTGCAGACTGAGGCAGCTGCTGCTGGTGGAGCTGCCACTGCTCCTACCACCCCCCACCCCTCCCCTGCTGCCATGGCAGCGGGAACGCGAGCGCACAGGGCCCACAGTGTCTGAGGATGGACGTTGGCGCACAAAGGCAGAGACCAACTGACTACATAGGTGGTTTTTATAGTACGTTATTTTGGCCTCCCTCTCAGCAGGTGTGAAAAAGGCCACCATTTTGGACGGTAGCGAGGGTCCAACAAGGTGGACAGCCAAAAGTCATCCCTCTGTCTGATGGTTATTATTCGGCTGTCGCTACGCAAGCAAGCAACCGAGCATGCTATGGGCCATTTGTGCCAAGGAATGCGAGGGACTCCCTGCCTCCATCTCCACAGCATACTGCCACGGTGCGTCTGGGTCCTCTGTCTCCTCCTCCTCCTCCTCTACCAATGCTCCTGCTCCTCCACTCCTGTCCGCTGAGTGGAAAAACCACCCATTTCACTCAATAATTCCTGAGCACAAATGTCCTCCTCTACCTCCTCCTCCTCCTCTTCTTCCTGTCCTGCCCCCACAGGGGTCATGTGGCGTTGAGATCTGTGCGCCACGTCTACCGCACCCTGACCAGCCATTGTTAACAGCATTTGTTCAAGGACGTGCAACAGAGGAATGACGTCGTTCATCCCATAGTCCTGCCGACTCACGAATAGCGTGGCCTCCTCAAAGGGCCTGAGCAAGCGGCAGGTGTCACGCATGAGCTGCCAATGGCTGACATCGAAGTTACACAGGGGAGTACCTTTATCCGCTTGTAACATCAGGAAATCGGTGATGGCCTTTCGCTGTTCGTAAAGGCGGTCTAACATGTGTAGGGTTTGAATTCCACCTTGTTGCAACGTCGCAGATCAGGCGATGCTGTGGAATTCCGTTCTGCCGCTGCAGCTCAAGGAGGGTGTGCTTTGCGGTGTAGGAATGGCTGAAATGCATGCAAAGTTTACGTGACATTTTAAGGATGTCTTGCAGTGGGATGGTGGATTTTAAGAACCGCTTGACAACCAGATTGAACACGTGAGCCATGCATGGCGCATGGCACAACCTTCCTTGACGCAGAGCAGACACCATGTTCTTTCCGTTGTCGGTCAACATGGTTCCGATTTTCAGTTTGCGCGGAGACAGCCATCTGTCGATTTCTCTGTTCATTACACTCAGAAGTTCCTCCCCTGTGTGACTACGTTCGCCAAGGCATACCAGGTGCAGAACAGCGTGACACCGTTGCGCCCTGCACATGTGATATGCCGGTCGGGTAATGGGACTTGGCACGGGGGTGGCGGCTGAGGACACGGCGGAAGAAGAGGTGGTAGAGGCGGACATCTTTGCCGGACCAAGGACGTGCAAACGTGGAGGCAAAAGCGGCGTGACCTGTCCAAGTTGCTGGTGCGGCTGTGACGGCACCACGTTCACCCCAGTGGGCCGTAAATGACATGTACTGTCCCTGACCATAGTTACAGCTCCACACGTCGGCGCTGCCGTGCACTTTGGCAGAGACCGACATGCTCAAAGACTGGCCCACCATGTCTTCTACATGTGAATGCAGGGCTGGCACTGCCTTTTTGGCGAAGAAATGACGGCTTGGCACTCTCCACCGCGCGCGGCGGCACAAGCCATCATTTCTCTGAAAGGTGCTGAGTCCACCACTTGGAAAGGGAGGGACTGCAGCACCAGCAACTTGGACAGGAGGACGTTCAGCTTTTGCACCGTCGGGTGCGTGCTCGCAAACTGTTGTCTCTTGGAAACGGATTCCAAGAAAGACTGCTGACGGAATCCGTGAAGAGGAGTAGCAGGAGAAGGAGCATCTGAACGAGCGGAAGATGCCAACGAGCGACAACTCCCCTCAGCAGAGGTGTTGGAGCCTTGACTGGCTGATGGAGGGCGATTGACGTCGGGTGACGGAGCAAGTAACGGAGCGGGTGATGGAGCGGGGGCTGGGGCGGGCAGAACCGCCGTATCTTTATCACGGTTTTCCCAGGCCACCAAATGGCGACGCTGCATATGCTGCCCGCAACGCTGTAGTCCCAACATGGGCCCCCTGGCCACGCTTGACTTTCTGGCCACATAGTCGACATACGGCTACGTTTACTTCCTCGGGCGGCTTGACGAAAAATTGCCACACCGCCGAGTAGGAAACTTTGCCCCCGATACTCCTCACTGGCTGACTGCTGCTTCCTCCGTGCACACCGGCACCACTACTGGCCGTGGTGGTAGGCTGCAGTGGAGCTGGTGCTCTACTCCGTGGCCGTTTGCCTCCACTGACACTGCTGCGACCCTGCTGCTGCTCCTGGGCAACCCACCGACTGTTTTGCTCGCTGCCAAGCTGCCACCCTCTTCTCCTGATGATGCGGAAGAAATTGCCTGATGACGACGAGGCTGCCAAGTGCGATCAACCTCCTCATCATCAAGTAGGGTCTCCGCCTCACTACTAGCCCCCTCGGCTGCGTGTGGGTCAGGAGACAGACCTGTCTCTAGACCGGCTACCGAGCCACTCTCCTCGCCACTACTTCTTCGCCTGGCTGCTGAAAAGGCGGATGTCTCCCCCCGTTCCTGACCGCCCTCTGTTAGCTCTTCCTCACTGTACAGTGGGGCTGAGCACAGCATGCGATACTTCGCTTGGTGAGGGAACACCAAAGGACAGGGGCAGGTAGAGGACACGTGATTTCAGTGGGCTTGGTCCCGGGCCATGCCAACTAACGGTTGTGTCTGACGTACCCACCGACCGTTGGCTGTAGGTGTCAGAGGTGACCTGGGAAGAGGAAGACGACCGAGCCAACCAATCGACGACGGCAGGGTTGTCGGTGGAGACACGACCGCTGGATGACACCGGGAGCACTGGCCTCTGGCTGCGAATAGTGCTGCCTCGACCCCTTCCTCTGCTGCCACGTCTGCTCGCTCCTAAAACATTGCCTCCTCTGCCACTCCTCTGCATGTTGTCTGACATACTCTTTAATTAAACGATTATGTGTCCCTGAGTAACAATTCTGTGTCCCTGAGTAACAATTCTGTGTCTGTGCGAGTAACAATTCTGTGGCCCTAAGTAACAGTTCTGTGGCCCTCAGTAACAATTCTGTGTCCCTGATTAACGTTTCTGTGGCTGCCAAGTAACAGTTCTGTGGCCCTCAGTAACAATTCTGTGTCTGTGCGAGTAACAATTCTGTGTCTGTGCGAGTAACAATTCTGTGGCCCTAAGTAAAGTTTCTGTGGCCCTAAGTAACAATTCTCTGGCACTCAGTAACAATTCTGTCTGTCCCTGAGTAACAATTCTCTGGCACTCAGTAACAATTCTGTCTGTCCCTGAGTAAAAAATTCTGTGGCCCTAAGTAAAGTTTCTGGGGCCCTGAGTAACAATTATCTGGCACTCAGTAACAATTCTGTCTGTCCCTGAGTAACAATTCTCTGGCACTCAGTAACAATTCTGTCTGTCCCTGAGTAAAAATTCTCTGGCCCTAAGTAAAGTTTCTGGGGCCCTGAGTAACAATTCTCTGGCACTAACCGTAACAATTCTGTCTGTCCCTGAGTAACAATTCTCTGGCACTCAGTAACAATTCTGTCTGTCCCTGAGTAAAAATTCTGTGGCCCTATTAAAGTTTCTGTGGCCCTAAGTAACAATTCTCTGGCACTCAGTAACAATTCTGTCTGTCCCTGAGTAACAATTCTCTGGCACTCGGTAACAATTCTGTCTGTCCCTGAGTAAAAATTCTGTGGCCCTAATAAAGTTTCTGTGGCCCTAAGTAACAATTCTCTGGCACTCAGTAACAATTCTGTCTGTCCCTGAGTAACAATTCTCTGGCACTCCGTAACAATTCTGTCTGTCCCTGAGTAACAATTCTCTGGCTGGCACTCAGTAACAATTCTGTCTGTCCCTGAGTAAAAATTCTGTGGCCCTAAGTAAAGTTTCTGTGGCCCTGAGTAACAATTCTCTGGCACTCCGTAACAATTCTGTCTGTCCCTGAGTAACAATTCTCTGGCACTAAGTAAAGTTTCTGTGGCCCAGAGTAACAATTCTCTGGCACTCCGTAACAATTCTGTCTGTCCC